ATCTTGAGAGACTTTACGGGAAATTCATCTCCACTGGGCTCATCCAGTATGGAGTTACAGATGTTAGAATTGGGCAAAGTGTTCCAAAATATGCAAGGGCAAATCAGAGATAAAGAGGACTTTCCTGTGCTAAACCCTGCCCATTTGATAAAACCGGGAGACTGGTTTATGTTAAGAATTGGAAACCAGGCATGATGGCACCCGCCTTTAATCCCAGCACTAGGGAGGCTGAGGCAGGAGGATCGCTGTGAGAGATCCGCCTGGGCTACATAGTGAGTTCCAGGTCAGTCTCAACTATACAGTGAGACCCTGTCTCAAAAAAAAAAAAAGAATTGGAAAAAGACCCCATTACAACATATTTGGGAAGGGGCCATGTGAGGCACTATGGTTACTCCCACAGCTGTCAGAGTAGCTGAAGTCCAGCCATGGATTCATCACTAGGGTAAAGCAAGCCCACCCAGAGAACTTCACGAAGTGCGGCTCCAGGAGACAACGCACTCAAGGCCCTGCTCTCACCACACCGGAAGCTAGTGAGTCCACGCACGGCTGAAGAGTGAGGCCTGCAATCAAGATACTATATGCCCAGGGATTTAGCTCAGTGTTCCACCGCCTGCCTTGCAAACGCAAGGACCCGAGTTCGATCACTGGTACAAAAGAAAAAAAGAGAGAGAGAGAGAGAGAGAGAGACTATGGATTCTTTTCATATGTCACACTGTTATGAGTTACTTTTTTAATTAAGAGTTTAAAAGCCTAAAGATGATAAGTTTGATGGAAAATATGCGACCTTTAAAACTATTAAATAGACCGCGCGTGGTGGCGCACGCCTGTCATCCCAGCACTCGGGAGGCTGAGGCAGGAGGATCGCTGTGAGTTCGAGACCCACCTGGGCTACAGAGTTCCAGGTCAATCTCAACTACGTAGTGAGACCCTGTCTCAAAAAAAGAAAAAACAAAACAAAACTGTTAAATAGGAACCAGAGGGGCGCCCCCTCACACTTCTCTTTGATGCCTGTCCAAAAGACCATTATGGGAACCCTGGCACCATACCCGACAGTGTGGGGTACACACAGGAAAAAGGTATTGTTCGGATAAAACCCGGATATGGTTCAACAGCCCTGTGGTAACCCGAAATGCTAGCAACTGTAATAACTGCAAGCAGGGACAATGCAACACCTTGAAAATGGACATAGCCTGGCCTTGGGAAGCAAGCTGGCTGCCGGGGATAATGTTTTATGTTTAAATTGGATATCCGTCAACTGCTACACATGGGCCTCAGAGGTTAAAGAGGTGGACTTTACAGATTAAAACCGTTTGGAGAGACCCGCCCCCAGAAATAGGGAAAACCCCCACCCTGCAGGAAATACAAGACATTTTAAGGGGGCATCCGAAGGACTCTACAGGAACGGGATGATGGATTTAACGGACAAAACCCACTCCCTCCTCCCGCAGACGGACCTGATTTGTGCACCGCTCACTGCGATGACTCATCACGTAATTGGCATCATGAGCAGCCCGCCTTTAGAGCCAGTAAAACTTGCTATGTATCCTTTACTCGGCAACTCTTTCAATATACTTGGAAATGGAACTTGCTATCTTGGTATCCAAAGGTCACACAACGCCTCAGCTGTCCGCACAGACAAGGCTGATTTGCCTTCTACCACTAGTAACGACTCCGCACCAAATGGAACTTTCTTTCTCCGCAAAAACGGTGTTTCGAAGGTGCATTTCAAGGCGTTCTACTCGTTTATGTGCTCTGGGAATCCTCGTCCCCAACTGGTCTGTCTATGCTCCGTCAACAAGGAGAAGGATGCTTTTCAAATCGCTGCACCAGATGGTCTGATAAGAGGAAAAAGAGACCCAATTCCCCTCCCCATAATGAACAGGATGAGCTACAGCAGGCAGCCTCACCCTGAGCGCCACGGCTCTCACCTTAGGACAGGGAGAGTTCAGGGCTCTGGGACAAGAGATCACAAAAGACTTAGAAGAAGTTCGATATGCGATACAAGCTTCAGAAACCCAGTTAGACTCTAGCTAATGTAGTGTTACAAAACAGGCGGGCCTCGCCCTGCTCGCTCACTGCCCACAGAGGAGGAGCTTGTCTGTTTTTAGGAGAAGGGTGTCGCTACTATGCAAATAAGTCCGGAAGAGTTAAAGAATCACCGGATAGATTAAGAGATCCTATTAAACTGCTAGGAAAACATTCAATTTTGGCCTCAACCCGTCAGGATGGAGGGCCTCGGTTAGCACTCTAACAGGGACAATTCTTTTCTGTTTGTTTGTTGTTTTTTGAGACAGGGTCTCACTATGTAGTTGAGACTGACCTGGAACTCACTCTGTAGCCCAGGCGGGTCTCGAACTCACAGCGATCCTCCTGCCTCAGCCTTCCGAGTGCTGGGATTAAAGGTATGCACCATCACGCCCAGAGGGCCAAATCACGCCCAGGGCCAATTCTTATTATACTGCTCATCCTTATGTTTGGTCCCTGCATAGTAAGATGGATAGCAAAACTCATACATCAGAGGATTGCAGCTGCCCAACACTCTCAGACGTTGGTTATGGGGAAAAATGAAAATTGGTATGAACGTAATGAGGGGTAAGGAGTTACCCCCGCAAAACAAAGGGAGGAATGATAGGAAAAACTTTTATAAATAGCAAAAAATCTAGAAAGTGTTACAATGTAAAATGACTTCTGTCTCTAACAGCAGTTTGTTTTGTTTAGCTCAAAACTAACAGGTACCGAAGGCACTACTTGCTGAATGAGGCATTTGGCCTGACCCTGAGATAAAGGACAACGTCAAGGTCTTGAGCTCCCAGAGAGACTGAAAAGTGTCTCAATGAAAGAACCATTGTTAACATTTGCTTTCCTGACCCTGAACGCCCCGTCCTATGGGCTAGGATAGATAGCTAGGCGAATCTTCAAGGTCAACTCCCCAACCGCAAAGAAAGTTAACTGTCTTGTGACCATGAATTGTATATCTGCAAATGCAATGTAACCACCTGCATGATGAGGTCATGGCTGTAAACCCTGTAAAACCTATGCACAATCCTGTAACGGGGCGTCACTTCTCTTAGAGAGTGGAGTCCACACGTGTGAAATACACTTCTTTCAGTCTTCTGTGTCCCGGTATTTGGTGTACTCGCTGGCTTGGTACAACACTGGGCACCCCCACACACCCCAAGGTTTGTCCCCTATGGCCTCCCAATGGGGACACCAAGGTCCCCAGCCCTGAAACCAAAGTAGCCCTAACTTGATTCTGCAGACTTCCCAGCATCCTAGCTTTGAGCGTTCCCTGGAGGGGTGTGTGTCTGTCAGGCTCTCTTGAGAACATGTTCTCACCTTTTCTGCTTTACTTACTACCCCTCAAAGACAGAAAAAGAATGCTGCCCTTTAATAGACCCCCAACACTTTTTTTTTTCTTTTGGTATCAGGGATCAAACTTGGGGTCTTGCACTTGACAGACAGGTGGCGGAATCACTGAGCTAAATCCCTGGCCCCTTGAACATATACTTCTTTAAAAAGACACTAAGCATGATGGTATAAGCCTGTCATCCCATTACTCAGGAAGCTGAGGCAGAAGGATCTCTGCGAGTTTAAGGCCAGCCTTGGTTTCACAGTAAAACAAACAAACAAACAAAAAAACAGGAGAAAGTGGTCAGGGTTCAAAGAGACTAATAGACATAAACAAAGGCAATAGATAAAATATGAACAGAGTATCAGATTAAAAAACAACCAGAACCATACTTTGGAAAAATGCATAGAATTATAATATTTTTACATAGTTCACATTTTTTATTTTCTTGATACAAATAATAGTATTTTATCTTTCTAGGAGATGCATTACCAAGCATTTAAAGCTCAAGGGTCATGAGTAAAGTTTCTAATTTACTTTCTCTTTTTCGTGTTTGTTTGTTTGCTTTTCTTTTTTTGAGACAGGGTCTCCTATGTAGTTCAGGCTGGGCTTGAACTCATGTCAATCCTCCTGCTTCAGCCTCCAGAGTGCTGAGATTACAAACATGCACCACCATGTCTGGTTTTTCAAGGGAGTCTTGCTGTCTAAGGCTGGCCTTGAACTCCTTACATAACCCAAATTGCCTTCAAAATAATCCTCCTGCCTCAGCCTCCCCAGTTCTGGGATTACAAGCCTGCACCACCACACCAGGTTCTCCAGCTCACTTTATATCACATAATTCGCGGGGCCGGGGATTTAGCTCAGTGGTTCTGCTGCCTACTTCACAAGCACAAGGTCCCGAGTTCGATCCCCGGTACCAAAACAAACAAAACACTCACATAATTTGCCCAATAAAGTGTCTTTCTGGGAGACAGTAAATGATAAATTTGATGTTAAAACATTAGTGCAATAAAAATGTCACCCTTCATACAGGAATTATGTTTGGAATCTGGGTTGGCACAAGTTTAGGGAGGTCAGATGAAGGGAGCGGTTGGGTTGTCTATTTGTTTTCGCTACCAGGAATGGAATTCAGGACCTTGCACTGGCCAGGCAGGCAGCACCCCTGTGCTAAATCCCCAGCGGAGTATTCTTGTCTTGTTAGCTGGACGACTTGAGGTTTACACACTTCTTGTTTGGTTTTCTGGTGCTAGGAGCAGAACCCAGGCTCATGCATGCTAGGCGAGCGCTCACCATTGAGCCTCACCCCCAAACCCCATCTACATACGTTTATATTCACAAACAAAAACATACACACCCTGCACAAGTATCTGTATCTTTCTACCTGATTGAAAAACAAATACCAGATGCGCAAAGAGAAAAACGTTTCTGTAATGAAACGTTTGTTTGCAAAAACAGGAGGAAAAGGCGGACAAGGTGGCCCACGCCGGTCATCCCAGCAATCAGGAGGCTGATGCGGGAGGATCACTGCAAGTCTGAGGCCAGGCTGGGCTACACAGTGAGTTCAAGGCGAGCCTGAACTACACAGCGAGTCCCTGTCTCAAACAAACAGGAGAAAGAAGAGTTCTGGAAACAACTTTCTCCCAGTGCTCACCGACATGCAAAGGAATCTCCAGGTCCGTGAAGCCAGAGGTCACAGCAATGCGGTCAAGAGAACTTAAGTGGGGGAAAATCCCTTTCCTTAGGGAAAAAGTTCACAGACTGTACGGAAGCTTTTGAAGATGCGAAGGCTGTTTCAGGACAGAGCCCGAGGAAGCGCGCTCTGGATACGATGGAAATTGGCTCCTGTCGGGACCCGTTGGAGCGACAGCCGGGCGGTCCTTCGTAGCCACTCGGAAGGACGCGTGGCCTGCACGGAAGTCTGTGCCTTACTTGTCCTCTAACCACTCCTTTTATTGTCAGCTCCTCCACCTAGGCCTTACCAAAACTGACTTAAGACCAACCACAACTAAGGAAAAAACGAACTTGACCGCGCAGAGCCAGAAAGGACGGCGGTGGGCTGTGACGTCACTTCCGCTTCGCTGGGGGGGGCCGGAAGGACCGGGCTGCGGGCCTCTGGCTCCGACACCTCGGACCGCTTGCAGGCGCAGAGGTTCTAGTTTTCTCTGCGTGCGTGGATGCAGATGGGCCCGGGGATAGAGTCACAGCCGCAAATGCAGGGCCACAGGTCAAGGTTGAGGTTGGAGCCAGGCGTGGGGTCCGGGGTTGAAGTGGGGCCACGTCCACGCACGATTTGCTGGGTCGTGGAGGCCAAAGGGCAAGGCACAGCTTCCCTGGCAGTGATTTTTGTTACGGTCTCCAGTAAGTAGCTTTTGTGGAGTTGTTTTGAACACCGAAGTAACAACAGAGTATGTCGGGATTATTTTGGGGGGGGGTACCGGGGATCGAACTCGGGTCCTTGCGCTTGCGAGGCAGGCAGCGGCGACAGTGAGCTAAATCCCCGGCGTATAGGTCAAGGTCGATCTGTGAACACTGTGATAAAGTTCTTACGGGGTTGGTAACTACTTTGCTGTTAAATTTTCACCGTTTTGTTTTTTGCGGGCTGGGGGATCCAACACAGGGCCTCACGAATGCAAGGCAAATGTTCCACCGCTGAGCTACACCCTCAAGTCAGATTTTCATCTTTTGCTGTACAAAGTCTTTAACTTTATAAGGCCAAAGAAATGTGTGGTCTTTTAAAAAAAACAATGTTTAGATGTTCTGCCTTACATTTAGAAATTCCCATTAAACTATAGATTACATACAAATTTTATAATTTTCCCCTATTGTGTATTAACACTTTTAACGACATTTAAAATTTCCATCCACCTAGAGTGCATTTTGGCACGTGGTCAGTTGGGGCTGAGGGTGCCCCGCAGTGGTAAACTACTTGCCTTGCAGGTGTGAAGCACTGTTTTTCATCACCAGCGCTGCAAGATTTAAAAATAAGATTTATACTTACATTTTTTTAAATGGCCAATTATTGTAGTACTATTTCTGGACAAACACTAACTTCTTGACTTAAAATTTCTTGTTTATTATACAATAAACTCCAGTATATACCTGCATCTGTGTCGAGACTCTCTGCACCAGTAATGCTTTATTTTTATTCCAATGGTTTTTGTTTTGTTTGGTTTTGGTTTTTGGTTTTTTGAGACAGGGTCTCACTATGTAGTTGAGACTGACCTGGAACTCACTGTGTAGCCCAGGCTGGTCTCGAACTCATGGCGATCCTCCTGCCTCAGCCTCGCGAGTGCTGGGATGACAGGCGTGAGCCACCACGTGCGGCCTTATGCCAGTGGTTTTATGTCACCTTTGATATTCAGCATTAGGTGATTGTTCTACATGACTACAGTGTCGAGCTAGGTAGATGTTAAACTTTTCATGTTCCCTATCATGTAGGCCCCACCATGGTTTTCACTGTTTTATTTTGGTCCAGCTTTTTGAGACAGTTCACATAAAACACAGTTCACCCACTTTTAGTACGTTCAGTATCACTCAACCATCATAATCTTATAAGCTTTTCTAACCCTTAAAGAACACTGTGATTGTCAAAACCCCCCATACCTCCTTCCTTAATCTTTTTTTTTTTTTTTTTTTTTTTTTTTGGTATTGGGGATTTGAACTCAGGACCTTGCGCTTGCAAGGCAGTTGGCAGAGCCACTGAACTAAATCCCCGGCCCCCTCCTTCCTTAATCTTGAGGCAACTAAAAATCTACTTTATCTACAGATTTACCTTTTGTGGACATTGTATATGAATAAAATCAGACTGTTTTATGAATAGCTTTTTTAACAGCATGTTTTTCAGAGTTCATCTGTGTTGTAACATCTTTTTTATGGCTAAATATTTTACAAACTATATCACGTTTTATTATTTTTATTCATCAATACGTGGACATCGGAGCTGTTTTCATTTTTTTTTCGGTACCGGGAACTAAACTCAGGACCTTGCACTTGCCAGGCAGGCATGGTACCACTGAGCTACATCACTGGCCCATTTTCACTTTTGAAATACTATGAGTAATTACAAAACTTCACACATCAGGAGAAGGAAAAGGGATTTAAAGGAAAAAATGGAAATGGAGCTTTTGTAAACGGATAGGGGTAGAGGAAGAGGACAAAAAAAGAATTACGATGTGTTATGTACATGTACAAATCCCCATGATGAGTGTGATCGCTATGTACTGCAAAAGTATTAATAAAAATTCACATATTTTTGGAGCAAACACGTTCTTATTTATCTTGAGTATTTCCCTAGGAATCTGCAATTCTTGGGTCATAAAATAACTAAAGAGCTGGGCCTGTCGGTATGCACTTGGCATTCCAGCACTCCAGAGGCTGAAGCAGGAATATTGCCAGGAGTTTGAAGTCAGCCTAGGCTACATAGTGAGTTCAGCTCTAACCTGAACTGCATAGTAAAATCCTGTCTCAAAAAAATAACTAGATGTTTAAAGATTTCAAGAACTATAAACGTGTTTACAAAGACACTACCATTTAACATTCTCACCAGAAAGATAGGTTCCAATTTCTCTACTTCCTTGCCAACATTCAGTACAGTCTTTCTCGTGTTAACCAGCCTTGAGGAGTAAAGTGCTATCTCATTATGGTTGTAACTTTTTTTGTTTGAGATGGGATCTTTCCATGTTACCTGGGCTGGCCTTGCACTTGCAGCCCTCCTGCCTCTGCCTCCTGAGTAGCTGGGATCCCTAATGGGCACCAGCATGCTCATCGTGAAGGACCAAAGATTGCGGTTTTGCTAAGATCCAGTTCACTTTATCTTGTTTGTAATTTGGTTTTGGTATTACACCTTAGAAAAGATTTCTATGCCCAATTTCATGAAGCTTATCTATACCTTCTTCTGTTTTGGGTCTTATGTTTTAAGTCTTTGATATTAGTTTTTGTGTGTAGCATAAGGTAAGCGTTCAACTCCATGATTTCGTTTATAGATACCCAGTTCTACAAGTACCATTTATTGAATTTTTGTTTTTTTGAGGGAGGGTCTCCCTGTGTAGTTCAGGTCAGCTGTGAATTGATTACATAGCCCAGGCTGGCCTCAAATTTGAGGCCACCATTGTGCCTCGGCCTCCAAAGTGCTGAGATTACAGGTGTGCACAACCACGCCAGCCTGTTGAAAACTTTATTTTTTATTCCCATTGAATTACTCTGGCCACCTTACCAAAAATCAGTTCACCATCTCTATGAGGGTTTATTTTTGGACTCTAGATGTCTACCACATTCTTTCACCACTACAACTTTGTAACAAGTTTTGAAATCTAAAAATGTGAATCTTCCAGCTGTGTCCCTCTCTTAAAAGATTACGCTGGCTGGGCTGGGAAGGTGGCTCAGCAGCACTGCACCTGCCTGGCAAGCACAAGGTCCTGAGTTCAATCCTTGGTACTGGGGGGAAAAAAAGATTGTGCGGCTATTTGGTATTTATTCTTATTCCATTTCTATATAAAGGTTAGGATTAATTTTTCAATTTTTGACAAGGAGTGGGGGAATCGATGACACTTGTTAAACCATGGTAAATCAGACTTTATTCAGTACCATCCTTGGATTATTTTGGTTAGTTTTTGTTTTTCTTTCAAGTGTTTTGGTTTTTGGGTTTTTTTTGACAGGGTCTCACTGTATAGCTCAGGCTGGCCTTGGACTCGAGGGGATCCTCCTGCCTCAGCCTCCAGAGTACTGGAATTATGGTAGCTAGTGGGTTTTTTTTTTTTTTAAGAGTATTTGCATATAAGTAAGTTTCCTCAGCCAGGGATTTAGCTCAGTGGCACCACACCTGCCTCGTGAGGTCCTGAGTTCAATCCCCGGTACCGTAAAAAGAAATGTGAGGGGTAAAAGGGTAAGAGAAAAACTGGCTCTGCAGAGCAAACTTGAACCAAACAAAACAGAAGAAAAGACCAAAACTAAAAGTACACCCTAGAAGACAGAGTGGTCTAGCATGAAGAGTTGGCTCCTTGTGGCATCTGTGTCCTTATATGTTGTCCACATCTCATGGGAGCCTCTTAGAAGCCCCACATATGAGGTCTTGGGGATTTATTTAGCACTGTCCTAGGATTTTTTTGTTTTGTTTTGTTTTGTTTTTGTTTTTGTTTTTGTTTTTGTTTTTTGAGACAGGGTCTCACTATGTAGTTGAGACTGACCTGGAACTCACTGTGTAGCCCAGGCTGGTCTCGAACTCACAGCAAACGTCCTACCTCAACCTCCCGAGTGCTGGGATGACAGGCGTGCGCCACCACGCCCGGCTGTCCTAGGACCTTCTAATTGACAGGTCCCACTTATTTTCCCAGCCAGCTTTGCCACACCCTATTTCCTGTATCACTGCTTCCGAAAGGCTCTGTCAGCATCAGATAAGACACATACACACCTGTCATCAGTTTGAGCAGTTCCATGCACACAATGCAGACAATGATTAAGGACAAGCGAAGAGGTAAGATATCCTAGAATAGAGTCCCACTGTCCAACACAAATGTTTTCAGTTTGTTCCTTTTCTGTCAGTCCTTAATGTTTCATTCGGTAGTGGGGGTGCAGCTCAGGGGTACAGCCTTGCCCAGTATGGCGCTGGGTTTGATTCTTATCACCACAAAAACAAATCAACCCACACCAAAAGAAAACAAAAGCTAGGCTATAATGGATTGGGGATGTGGCTCCCTGGTGGAGCCCTTAACCGGAATGCGCAAGACCTGAGGTTCAGACCTCACACTTCCTAAAGAAAGAATGGTTAATCTGCTTTTAGCCTTTACTGTTTCTGATGACTGAATCCTTACCCAATAGGAATGCACTGTTATTCTCAGGCTCCTTTCAAGGTTTTCTGTCTTCAGTATTTAGCAGTTTATGTTTGGGCCTGCATTTTCTTAGACTTATCATTGAAATTCTTGAACCTTGTTCTTCACCAAATTTGAAGTTTTTTTATTATCACTTCTTTAAAAATGTTTATCGCATCCTACTTTCCCCTCTTCTTTTTCTTTTTTTTTTTTTTTTTTTTTTTTTTTTTTTTTGTACCAGG